TAGGCAAACCTGAAATCCAAACCGAAATTCGAATTTCTTGGATTTTCGGATTACGGATTGGATATTAGATTTGGTACTTCAAAATTTTGGATATCCGATAATCCAAAATTATTATACTTTATTTTTAGTCCATTATCCATATGTCAATAGTAATAAGTCCAATACCCTACCCATTAGATATTACCATATATATTCAATAGTAATTACTAAGTTATTATGATAATACTTTCTATTTGGACATGGTTTTACTATTTTTATTTTTTATCTGTCGTATTAATGTCTCTATTGTATTTTTTATTTTTATTTTTTATATAATAATTTCATTACTTTAATATTTCATTTGGATGATTGCAGTGAGAATGAAGGACTTTTCAGGGCAATTTAACATAAGTACTTCATTTGAATATTCATTTTTGTAAAAAGAAGAGACATCTCAACTTATAAGGTCAAAACCAAAAATCCAAAATATCCTAACCGATTAATCCGAAACTGAACTTAAAAAATCCGATCCAATCGAACTTATTTGGATTGGATTTGGATTGTCATTTCATCAATCCAAAAACTAAAAATCCAAACCGAAATTTCATATGCAATCCGAACTGCCCGAACGTCCACCCCTAGGGGGTGGGGTGGGTTGGTAAGAGTGGAGAAGGTTGAAAAGGAGCTTTGGAGAATGTTTTCCCTTCTTTTGATAAGGAAAACATTTTCCTCCAATTGGAGGAAAATGAATTAATAAAGAAAATATTTTTCAAAACATTTTAGCCAACCAAATATGAAAAAATTGGAAAATATTTTGCTTCATATCAAACACACCCAAAGAAATGACGCAAAAAGAACATACTCCTCAGATCATTATACATGTATCACCTAGTAAAATTTATGCAAGGATGAAAAATCACAATCTTGCATTGATATCAACATTGCAGAGTAGAATTCTTAAATAAACTTGATATAGTTAAAAACTAATAGCCTGTTTGGCCAAAAGTATTTTTTTGGCCAAAAGCACTTTTGGTCAAGCTTCCGGAAAAAAAAAAGTGTTTTTGAGGAGAAGCAGAAGCAGTTTTGAAGAAGCAGAAAAAAATAGCTTCTCTCCAAAAGTACTTTTTTGAGAAACACTTTTGAGAAAATAACTTAGAAGTAGTTTTTTAAAGTCTGACCAAACACTAATTGCTGCTCAGAAGTGCTTTTCAAACTAATTAGCCAAACACAAACTGCTTCTCACCAAAAGTACTTTTGAAAAAAACACTTTTGAAAAAAATTACTTCTCAAAATAAGCTGATTTTTACAACACTGCCAAACGGGCTATAAGTTAAAAAATACCATACACACTACTACATTAGTCTCTTTGTCCTAATTTGCGTAAATGTGTTTTATTGAACACGAAATATAAGAAATAAAGAAAAAAATTGAATATTAACCCTTACCATAGAAGTTTACGAAGTTAGAAACTTTCCGATAGTATAAAGAGAAATTTAAAATTTAAGTGATAGCAAATATAGGAAAATATTATAGGAAAATATTTTTTTGGACTAACTAAAAAGAAAAAAAAGTGTGTTTTACTACTCCTCTACCAAAACAAGTACTAGGAACGTGGCACTATCAATTAGTTCCTAGGGGCATAGATATCTTGCCACTATCACTGATACCGTTTAGTCGTAATTTTTTTTAATCTATATATATAAATAATAAATATAATTAAAGTATTATGTACAATTATACAATATCACTTGCCATTACAGTAATTTATTCATTGGTTCATTTCTTCCACTATTGACACGCCTTATGAAATTTTTTTCGTACGTCACTGTGTACAATTATTATATGGAAAAAATTATCTTTTACGTTTGGGATTTTCATCAAAACCACATTAGTTTTAATATATTGAAGTGATAAAAGACATAATCTGAAACAACATCTCCGTTCCCTTCGGGATAGGGGTAAGATCTCATAGGGGTAAGACCTCTATTCCCTCCCCAGGTTCCACCTGCGAGATTTTGATGGTCTATGTCGTTGATAAAAGACATAATCTCAATATTTAAATGGGGGTATTTCGGTAACTTCAATATATCATTTGACAGTCCCAAAAACATTTGAAGCAAAATTTGGTTAAAAAGATGGTCGTGCATTAGTCGTCTCATATGTTCTTTTAACGTTCTTGAATTGGTTTCTCTCTCTTCTCTCTCTCTCATGCTACATGGACAAGACTCTAGAGACTCCAGTGTATAGAGTGTGCTTCTAAACATAGACCCTAGAGAGAGAAAACTAGATAGAGTAAGCAAAAACCAAAGAGCTACTAGTCTTAATTTATGTCTCAAAAAATATAGTCTAGCTACAGAGATTATCATCACCTGTTATATGCACTGTAGCACCACCATAACTTAGCCAAATTTCCTAGGAAAAGAAACCCCATCTCAATCTCATAGATTCAAAGAAAAAAGCCCATCTCTGCTGATAAAGTTTGTTTCTCCGGTAGAAAAAATGGAGGACAATGGTATGGTTCATGGGAATCTTGATCCTAGAGCCCAAGAATTCATACCAAGATATCCTTTTCACCAACCCCCTAACAATTCTTTACCTTTGCTCCCTAATCAATTTTATTATCCTGCTTATCCATGTCCACCTCAGTTGCCGCCGCCGTTGCCGCCGTCGTTACCGCCATACGGTGATGATGTTGGATACCATCAAGTTACACACACGGCGTACGTTAGCTCAAACCCACCTATGCCTACGCCTTTTTTGCCACCTCCAAGTTCAATGGCTACAAGAACTTTGTTGTTAAGTATGGTTCCAGTTGAAGTGAGTGAGTCTATAGTGAGAAGGGATTTGGAAGTTTTTGGAGATGTTCGAGCAGTGCAAATGGGAAGGTTAAGAGAAGGGATTGTAACGGTTCATTTTTATGATTTGAGGCACGCGCGAGCAGCGTTGATAGAGATTCAAGAACAGAACATGCAACAGCAGTGTCGTTTAAGGAGGCATTATGAGGAGTCTATTTATTCTACTACTATGGGTGGTTTAATTCTTCCCCCTCTTCCATTTCCACTTCCTCCCCCGGCGCGTGGGCTTATTGCTGGAAGAGCTGTTTGGGCTCAGTTTACTTTCCCTCTGACTTCTAGTCTTCCTGATGGGAATAACCAAGGGACACTTGTGATTTTCAATTTGGACTCTCATACTTCTTCTACTTATCTTAGAGATATTTTTCAAGCTTTTGGTATATATGCTAATTTTTTAGTCTTTTTCCTTATTGGTTTTTAATAGTATAATGAATTCTCATATTCCTCGCTTTGGTCCTAGGTGAATATATGTTTTACTTGCTGATTATGTTTGTGTTGAATATATATATTTAGGGAATGTGAAGGAATTGAGAGAGACACCAATGAAGAGGCATCAAAGGTTTGTGGAGTTTTATGATGTAAGAGATGCAGCAAGGGCTTTAACGGAGATGAATGGAAAAGAGATAGATGGGAAGCAATTGTTGATTGAATTCAGTAGGCCAGGTGGAAATAGCAGAAGATTTTCAAGACCTAATTATTCATCACCTAAATTCAGTCGTAATTCAATCAACAACAATTATTCTCCTCCACAAAAATCTCAAAGGGTGTACACTTCACATTCCCAGAAATCAAATTATGGAAACCCTAGTGGAAGTGAGAGTTCAGGTAGTGGGTCTGTTCAAGATTCATTGGCATCTTTGTGTATATCAAATAATGGTAGGCCTGGGAAAATCAAGAATGCCAAAACATGTACTAAAACTATTAGTCCAAGCAGTAGCAGTGTTACAACTTCTTCGTCGAAGCAGATTTTACTACAAGTTAAGAGCAATAAACCATGGAAACAGGCCAGAGATTATGATCCTCGTTTCCTAATTAACGAAGATGCCATTATGGAATCAAATTGCAGTGATACCAGAACTACTGTCATGATTAAAAACATACCCAACAAGTACAGGTAATCATCCTAAATTCAATATTTTATTTCTTTATTTCCTTATATCTATTCATATTCTAATTAATTTCCCCTTTTATGTTTAAATGCTATAGGAAGTCCCCTTTACGCGGTGAATAACTAATGAAGGTTATATGTTGATTAAATAATGTACAAATTGTTATGGAGTGAATAATAATACATGGAAAAATTGTCAAAGGCTATTTTTTTTTAATTTTATGTCATTTCGTATAATATATATAGGAGTACTAGATTTCAGGTAACATATTACTGGGATAATAGCCACCAGTTAAATGTTGCATAAAATTAAGTGGGAATTGTTTTTTCTTATACAGCTGATCAAATGGCATTGCATTTCTAAGTACCCCTCTAATCAAATTTAGTTTAATTTTATACAATATTTTATGTTGTAAAATAGTGTAATAATGTTGGTATTTGGTATATTTGACTGACATATATTTGGGGTGTGGTGCAGTCAGAAGCTGCTGCTGAACATGCTGGACAACCACTGCATTCACTATAACGAGCAGATTGCCGACGGCGATGATCAGCAGCAGCCAAAATCCTCCTACGATTTCGTTTATCTTCCCATTGATTTCATGTGGGTTATTCAATTAAGATTGAATTTTTATCCATTAATTTAATTAGTTCTAACATGTAATCATATAAACTTTTTTTTAGTAACAAGTGCAACGTGGGATATGGATTCGTGAACATGACTTCACCACAGGCAACTTTGAGACTCTACAAAGCTTTTCACCATCAAAGTTGGGAGGTCTTCAACTCTAGAAAAATCTGCCAAGTTACTTATGCTAGATTACAAGTATGTTCCACCTCCCTCTATATTAGTAGCAAATTATTTTTTGTTTTTCCAGCATTGAGCTCATTGTTTAGTTTGTCTTTAAAAACTTTTATTTTGGTTGGCATTAATTTATTGAATAAGTTACATGAGAATTTATGTATGTATTATTTTATGTGTATTAGCAATAAAATTAAATTATTTTAGAGACAGAAAAAATGTGTTAAAATAAGTAGTTAATTCATGTATTAAAAATTTGTTGTTTTAGTATGGAGTAATTAGTTTGTGATTAAAAAATGCATGAATGAAGGGAATAGAAGCACTAAAAGAACATTTCAAGAACTCAAAGTTCCCATGTGAAGCAGAGGAATACATGCCAGTAATATTCTCACCACCTCGAGATGGCAAGTTATTAACAGAAGCTGTTCCTATAGTGGGTCGAGGAATGAACCCTCCTCCATTACTCCTTTCTGCCGTCACTTCCTATAAGGAACAAGAAGAAGAAGAGGAGTCTGATTCGGTAGAACAACTACTAGTGGAAGAAGTTGGTAGGCTAGTAGATGATAATGAAAATGGCTATATGGACAGAACTAATGATGACAAAGAAGCAAGAAACGGCGGCGTTGGTGTTGGTGTTGGTGTTGGTGAAGAAGATTACGATGACGACAACAACAATGATTCAAGATCATTTGCTGCTTCCATCTGCATGTAAAGATTTTATACTTGTCTTGTTGACATTTACAAAATCCTATGAAGAAAAAGAAAAGATTTCATTTCATGTTTCATGTGGAAGGGGAAAATTAAAAAATCGACCACTCCCCATGGCTGAAAACTGGCACAAAGGAAACAGCTTGCTACCACCCAATGGGTTTGCGTGTAAATCTCTCTTTTTCTACTCAAAAAAGCACTCTTCTGATCTCTCTACCTCGATCAAGGGAAAAGAACCCAACCCTTTCAGTCATACTCCTCTCACATACTTGTGTAGTGTAGTTTTAAGTTTAGCATTTTACTATTCTCTCTCTCTGTTGGATGGATAATTTCTTTGTCTTTGCAACATTGGTCTGTTTTCGTTGTAAAAATCTTTTGCATTCAAAGCAAGAATTCCATCTTTTTCGTTTTCACTTTTCCCAGGGTTGTGCATGTTTTGTTTTCCTTTATTAATCAATTACTCCATGGAGACCGAGTGTAGTATGGTTCAAGTTAATATGTTATGATAAGTTATTTATTATTCATTTCCAGTTAATAATCAATGCTTTTTAAATTAAATTTCTGTTTTATGCACTGTTTTTGTAAACCTTTCTATTAGCTTAAGTTCTTTTCAAGTAATAATTGGATTGGACAAATATTTTACACTGTTAATACACACTAACATAAACTCTTTTATGTATTCTCTCATAATGGATAATCCCTTTGTATTTCTTTTGTTCTCTCTTTGAAACATTGGTCTGTTATCGTTGTAAAACTAGTAAAATCAAAGGACTAGATCTTTTTCATTAAAAGCAAGAATCCAATTCTTTTGGATTTACTTTTCCGAGGATATTGAGCATGGTTTATTTTTCTTTGTCAATCAATTTTTCGGGGTCTGTTTTTTATAATAGTTATTATTACCTTATCGGAAATATTAAACCTGACTCTTTATGTATCTGGCATTAATTGGAAGAGGGGAGAGTTAGAAAGGCTGGGAACCTATAGAGTGGTAATACTGGGAAGGAAACAATAATTCGATTTTCAAGAAAAAGTTGGTGTTTTTTGAGCGTATTTGCGACATTGCTCTTGTTTTAACCTAATTAATTAATTGTTAACAGCAATTTTGATAGTGCTCATGGTCCGTTTTGCACTCATTAGACGCGAGAATAATGGATTATGTGCATATATTTTTATACTATCAGTTATTTTATTTGTTGATTTACCATATTAAGGATGCAATGAAAAATTTGTTGAAGACATTATTAAGTATAGAAAAATATGCTTTTTTTTTTCAAGTAGCTTGAACTTTTAGGTAAGATGGTTACTCTATTCAATATGATATCAGAACATGTATATAAGTTTTAATTTGGATTCAAATCTTGTCGCCACCAAGATAAAAAAAACGATTACTGAATAAGAAACTTGAGAGAATTGATGAAGCTGAGAGTGGGAATCAGTCAATCAGAATTTGAGAAAGCTAAGTAACTACTAGACTGCTGACCACATACACATAAGGGACATGTTAAAAACATGATTTGGTAAAGAGAAATGTATTTTTGCTAACAACTCACTAAACTTACTCATCTAACTTACTCATCTTTAACTTAAAGGAGCCGTTTGGCCATAAATTTTGTGTATATATTTGGTCCATTAAATATTTTATATGGCATGATAATCTAATCAGAATTAGTGTTTATGTGGCATCGATCACTTTTACAAGAGATCCTAAAAGAAGTACAGAAATGAATATAAAAAGTCACGACACGACACATTGGATTAAAACGTATATATATTGGTTCAAATGATTCTGGCGACTTTTGATTGTAAACTGATCTGATAATTCATTCATACAATATAATATATCCGCACATATATTCACAGGAAGAGAATAAACAAGAAGGAACCTTATATTTTTCTGGTGAATAAAGTGTCAGCACATAGAGTGCAAGAGATCATGAATAGTAATATACTGGAAAGGACAATTTTGTTCCTAAGCGGATGGAGCAAAAAAGAATAGAGCTTAATTATCAACAAAATGGAAAAGGGCGTCGATAAAATTCTCTTAAAACTCTTAGTTAGCTGGCTCCTCTATCTCTTTTCTTGTTTTCTTGTTTTCTTGTTTTTTCCCTTTTCCCTTTTAGGTGGTTCCTTTTCATTTCACTTTTTAAGGTAATATTAACATTTCAAGTGTGTTATTCCCCCAAAAATGCCAAAGCTATACCGGTTTAGGGGTGCTCATCGGCTAATACTGTACGGTATTTAAATATTTCGGTTCAGTATTTTTGGTATTCGGTTTCTTAAAATGCTATACCATACCGTGTTAGGACCGAAAAAAGTCAGGTGTCATGCGGAAGCTAGCAAAGAAAACCTTCAACGACGATAAATCATACAAGAAAGAGAAATATACCAAAACGAGGCACAACATTTAACGTGATTCGGTCAACTGACCTACGTCCACCGCGGAGATGAGCAATCCACTATATAAAAGAGAGATACAAAATATCGAGAGAACAACCTCACGAAGAGGCAAACACAAGTGACACACTAACACTTGTCCCGTAAAGTTCTCCCACTAAACAAGACTCTCAACCCCCCTATGGCTACATTGTAGATGCTACTGAATGAGAAGAAATAATCCTCAATTTATAGAAGTCCAAACATTTTCCTACAAGAAAAAGGACCAGCCAAATATGGAAGATTTTTAATTTCCTTCTACAAAAAGGAAAACCCAATTAAGGTGTTCATGTTGCCCTTTCCTTCAACAAATAGGAAAACCAAATATGGTAAGAAAATTATGGCAAACACCTAACATACCGTACCTAATTAAATTCGGTATGGTTCTGTTTTTCTCTTTTCGGTTTCGATTTATTCGGTTCAGTAACTTCGGTTTATACAATTTGAATCTAACAAGTGCATAGAGTTATAGACTATAATATTCTTAAATAAAATACTCAGAAGTACAAAACAGAAAACGTTTGTTGACAAAAGTTTTGTCCAAAACAAGCAAATATATCAACCTAGAGAGAGAAAACTGCAAATGAAGGAATAAATTCGATCATTAGAAATATCTTCTTACTTGCTTAGAGTTAATTGATGAACTTAGAGAATAAAGAAAAGTAAATTTTCGATTTTTATATTTATGTTATAATTAATAATATGTGTTTTGTGTAATATACTATATATTTCGGTATTTCATTAAAAAATACCAAATAATCTAATACCATATTTTTTTAAAACTTAAACCAAATACTATACTGATTACCGAATTATCGAATATCAAATATCAAAATTTTCGATTTCGATACGGTAATTCGATATTTACCAAATTATGCACAACTTTATACTAGTTTAGGAGTTGTAAAATAATCCGTTGCTTATAGTTTACGGGGAGTGAAGTGGAAATTGTGGTTTAGGAGTTGTAAACATATGTTTAGTGAAGTGATGATAGTAATTAAATGATTAATTCATTCAAAACTTGCTATTCTAAATAAAACTTCTTTTCCGGGTAGCTCCATTTTTTTTGGAAATTTTGAAAGAATGACAAAAAAAGAAGAAGAAGAAGACATCATCAAGCCAAGAGAGAGAGAGAGAGGTGATGGGAGAGGGAATACGAGGGAAAACTTATACTCAGTAATACTCTCTATGTCCCAACGGATGATTTGATATATTTTCAATTTCGAGAGTAAACTTTTTAATTTTAATCATAAATTCGGACATGAATTTTTTAAATTCTTTTAAAGTGTAATTTATATATTTGGAGGCTATGTAAAAAATACTAGAAAGAATTACAAGAAAATACACATGAGTTCACACCATAACAAAAAATAGCTCATGTTTTTAAGTTTTACCCCACCTAGCCCATATTGTACATATTTGAAAACAGTAGCTCTTGCAAATTCAAAATCTGTGTTCCGGCAACCATTGCTTCTAAAAGCTATAGAGTTAAATTTGTGTTCTCACAACCATTGCTTTCACTCTCTCTTCTTCTCACTTCTTTTACATATGCTTTAAGGGGACGTTCGCTATTACTGCTTCTCCCCCTATATCACCTGGTTGCAATGTAAAAAAATTAAAGAGTAGAAGTCCACTATTGAAGGCCATTCAAAACTTTGGTTTCGAAAATAGGACTTTTTGAGTTTGTTAGTTGTTTGGATTGAGTATTGTTCCAAATGATTCAAAATATCAAAAGAAGTTCAAAATTTAATTTGAAGTGATTTGGAGTAGATTTGAGCAAGATTTGAGTTAAATTTCAGAAAAAACGCAAGGAAGAAGACGAAGTTAGTTTTTTATATAATTATGTATAATCTTGTATAATAGTGTTTATGAGTGTATAAACATATCTTATACATTATTATACACTTTTATACACGTTTATACAAGCGTCTGTAGACGAACTTCTTTTACGATTTTCAGTTGCAATTCTTGTTCAAAACCAGTCCAAATCTCCATTAAATGACTTCAAATTTTATATACAACCTCCTTATACTATTTCTAACAAATCTAGATAACACCCACTTCAAATTTCTCACAAAATCAAATTCGAAATTTAAACCCACATATTTAAGCTTGTTAAAAATCTAATTTTCACCACCAAAATAAATTTGGTGTGTTGAACTAATATTTGAGTCACAGTTACTGATTCAAAAATTAACTTAAAAGCTTGAGTAATCTTTTTTAAAAATTAAATAGTAATTGTGAGAACCTATTGAACTTGGATGTTGAATCTTAGCCCATTATTTTTGGGTTAGTTGATTGTAAATTAAAATATGGGCTATAAAATTGAAAAGTAGAGAGCTCAATTATTTTTATGTGAAATTTTCCCAAAATACTATAAGTCATAATAATTAGTAATTTAAAAGACATATAAAAAACCATCGATCAAAGAAAATTAAACATATTTGATATCTGAATGTATTGACTAATTAAATTTTAAAGTAATACTATTTTCTTTATCAATTTTAGTGTTCTTTCCCCATCACATAGGATTCAAAGTATATAGAGGTTTGTAATAAATCCTATAACAGATACATATGACTTCTGTACCAGGTAAATAATCATAATCATATAATTTAATGCTAAGTATTAAAGCATTTAAAGAATTCTCATCATTAAGAGAAATTTGCAAATTGGGATAAGCATTAAAATAAACAGGGCCATAGGCCAAACTGGTTTGCACAGTCCTTATAAGAGACCTTTTCCAGTTCTGGTTTCTGCCATCTCTGAGAGCTGCTATGAAACTTTCAGGTAAGTCTCTTAACGTAAGTGGCTTAAATGCGACTTGTATTAAGCCTATATGTATAAATCTATGTGAATTTCTATAAGGGGCCTATATATGAGTGGAATATAGATGGTCTTGCTGAAAGACAGATCTATACGACAGTACATAGAATGCTTATGTACAGTACTATCTGTAAGGTTAATAAGAATACAGATAGGACAATTGCAGAAATGATTATTGCCGGATTTACTGGTCAGCTAAAAGGCTGGTGGGATAATTATCTCACTTATGACCAGCGCTTTCAGATAATAAAT